TACTCTCTTTGTCTCTCTCTATATAAGTAAATTGTTTGTTAAACTATTTCAATTAATGCATTCAGATCAGTGAACGAGCAAGAGAAAGTTCAAGTGTATTACACTAGTTGATACTAGTGAATTATCTATTATGCAACTAACTAACTAACCATTATACAACAGTCAGTCAGTCAGTCAGCTGCAACGTAGAACTTCGCACGTATGTACATAATAAGTTCATGCTGCCATACCACATGAGCACAAAGACGCAAATGTCAAATCAAATCACATAGTGATAAAGATAGTAGAGGTATTAATGGTAATAAAGAAGACTAGGGTTTGAACATATTATTCAAGAAGTATAATTCAGTGAGATAAGGTTAGAAAGACAAAGGTAGAAGTGCTGACGAATCCAGAAGATTAGGATTTGAGAGAGCTCAAAGAGTGGATGCACCTGCGCCATTGCAAACGATTTTGAGCCATGTCGTTCAAGGTCTCTAACCATTGATGACTTTCGTCTCGCGGACACCAACCAGGTAGTCTACATCTACCAACATGACTCAGTCCACTTGTCAGTGACTTCATGGATTTCTGTCATGTTTTGGTCTGGCCGCCCTTAACTTTCTTCCAACCTACTCCTACACCACAAAACATAGCTCGTCGTGGCAGTCGGTGGTTAGCCATACGTAACACATGTCCCAACCACCTCAACTGATGAAGTTTCACCACTTCATCTATTGATCTGCCATCCTTACCTAGTACTCGTTTCCTAACGACAGCATTGCTTACTCGGCTGTCCCACGATATACGAGCAATGCTTCTTAAACATCTATGATCGAATACTAGTAACCTACGAACATCTTCTACTCTTAACGGCCATGTTTCACAGCCATATAAGAGAACGGAACGAACTGCTGCGCAGTACACCCGCCCTTTGGTTAGCGAACGGATATCACGCCTACGCCATAAGTGACGCAGGTTGGCAAAAGCCAATCGAGCTTTCTGTATCCGAGCTGAGATTTCGTTAGTCACCAGACCGTCAGCACTGATGAGACTCCCCAGATAAGTGAAGTGATCAACACGCTCGACTACTTCACTCCCTATCATTAGTTCAGGTGCCGAAGCAACCCAGTCTTGAAGCAACATTTTGCATTTCGACGGGGAAAACCGCATCTCGAACATGCTCGCATTGTTGCTTATGGTAGTCAGAAGATTCTGCATTTTGTCAGCGTCTTCACCGAATAGAACTATGTCATCGGCATATTCTAGATCAGTAAGCGACTTTCCTGGTAGAAGGTCAACCCCTGAAAAATCTGACGAGCTTAATGTTAACTCTAAGAGGATGTCTACGACAAAGTTAAACAAGAATGGAGAGAGTGGACAGCCCTGACGGACACCACTTGATGTAGAGAATTCCGGTGACAGTTCGCCATATGCTTTCACCCGACCAGTGGTGTTCGAGTAGAGTGCTTGTATAAGGTTAATGTACTTCTTTGGTACACCTTTCAATGACAGACACTGCCACAGAACCTCACGATCCACTGAGTCGAATGCCGCCTTAAGGTCCAGGAACACGACTATCGTCGGACGTCTAAATGTGTGTCTGTGTTCCAGGACCTGTCTGAGTGTGAAGATGTGGTCTATACAACCACGTCCAGGTCGAAAACCAGCTTGGTTTTCTCGAGTCAGCTCTTCACGAGCTCTAGTTAGACGTCTAAGTATAATCGAGGCTAACAATTTAGAAACTATATTAGTTAAACTTATTCCCCTGTGATAGTCACAAGAGGACTTCTGTCCTTTCTTGTAGATTGGGACAATTAGCGACTGAGACCAGTCAGATGGGATTACGTCCATTTCCCAGATTCTACCTAGGATCTCGGTCAGTCTAACCGTTAAAACTGGACCACCATACTTAAACATCTCAGGGGCAAGCCTGTCGGGACCTGCCGCTCTACCTCCCGTTAGATTTCCTATAGCTTTCTCAACTTCATGTAAACTGGGAGGACTTAAATCGATTTGCCATTCGGGATGACTGGAGATCGTGGGCAACCGAAGTGTGGCTGAAGGCCAGTTGAACTGATCCCTAAAGTGTTCTGCCCATCGGTCCAGCCTCCTAGATTGAGAATGGATAATAAGACCATCCTTTTCCAAGATAGTCTCACTCACATTCGGGTTCCTAATACCGGTTTCTTTAATAAGGCGGAAAAGTTGTCTAGTGTTGCCCATCGCCGCTGCCTTTTCCATCGCTTTTGCTTTCGCCACCCACCACTGTTCACGGTCGTTACGTAGGCTTTTTATAAGTCTGCGCCTAAGCTGACTACGCTCTTCATCATGTTCAGAGTCAGGTGGGATGCGTTTTCGAGCATCCATCAGTTCGGTGGATGCGACTGAAATCCACTGCTTCATCCTAGCCTTGTGGTTTACCTTGCTAGCAGATATCACTGCTGTTTCCACAGCCTTCTTGATATGATTCCAACCTGCTTCAGGATGGGAATCACTTGCATGGCCGTCTAACTGTTTTTCTAGTTCCTCCTGAAATATTTTCTTAGCTTGATTATCATCAAGTAAAGCCCTAAGAGGCTTGCTTACGGTGTCTTTCCTACGTCCAGCAAGCCTCAAACAAATACGTGCTCGCACTAGGGCATGATCTGAATCTAAACATGTGCCCCAGAACGAGCGACAGTCTTCTATCGAACCCCTCCATCGGTGGCTGATGGCGATATGATCTAGTTGTGTCCAACGTTGAGACGACTTTGGGGGTCGCCAGGTCAAAAGGTGTTTTTCCTTATGCTTAAAATTAGTGTTTGCTAGAAATAGTTGGTTATCTGAGCACAGTTGCAACAGACTGGTGACTTTCGTCTCGCGGACACCAACCAGGTAGTCTACATCTACCAACATGACTCAGTCCACTTGTCAGTGACTTTATCGATTTCTGCCATGTTTTGGTCTGGCCACCCCTAGCTTTCACCACTTCATCTATTGATCTGCCATCCTTACCTAGCACCCGTTTCCTAACGACTGTATCGCTTACTCGGTTGTCCCACGATATACGAGCAATGCTTCTTAAACATCTATGATCGAATACTAGTAACCTACGAACATCTTCTACTCTTAACGGCCATGTTTCACAGCCATATAAGAGAACGGAACGAACTGCTGCGCAGTACATCCGTCCTTTGGTTAGCGAACGGATATCACGCCTACGCCATAAGTGACGCAGGTTGGTAAAAGCCAATTGAGCTTCCTGTATCCGCGCTGAGATTTCGTCAGTCACCAGGCTATAAATTATCAATTAAAAAATCCCATAGTAGTAGAGGTAGTAAAAGTATTAGAAGTAATCGGAGAGATTAGGGGTTCGAAGATGTTATTCAAAAAGTATAATTCAGTGAGGTAAATTTAGAAACATAAAGATAGAGGTGATGAGGAATATCAGAAGGTTAGAATTTCATAGAAAACAAAGAGTAAATGCACCTGCGCTAAGCCTAAACATTAAAAATCCTGACAAATATCTTTAAGCATAGAGAGCATTAGTTTCTTTTTTTCTAAAAACGTATGAAAATTGAATGTTAAAATGAGGCTGTATCAAAAAAAAATTTGTGACTGACTTTTCATAATTTTTTAAGAAATAAAAAATTAAAATACATACAATGGTTAAGCAAACATAATGAGTTGTAGTTGTCTCACTCAATTGTACTTCTCAGAGCTAACAGTTGCATCTCTGTACTGATAAGCTATGGCAACCTGAGCTTATGTAATCATGTACGAAGTTCTACGTTATAACTGATTGGCTGACTAACAAACAGTATATCTATAAATACAATTTAGGGGTTGAATGTACGTATTCTTATGGCTTCTGCAATGTGTGTAGGAGACGGGATCGAACTCCGTTGGGAAATGATTGAGGTATACGATAGATCATCTGAAAAGATCTAGATTTATCTACAATGTGACCACTATCTACCAGGTGTGCTAAGATAGAACTGCGTATTGTTTTTTAATGACCCTTCGTAAACCATACTGGGAGATGTTCACTCATTCGTTGTGTAAGTTGCCTGGAAGTACGTCCGATATAGCTATCTCCACAGGAGCAGCTGAATTTGTAAATGCACATAGAGGAGGCCAACTCAGGTAACTTATCTTTCGTTTGGGTAGATATCGCTGGTCGACTGGAGAATGTCAATGCAAATTTGACAGCGTTGAATGTTCTATTAATTACTCTCCTTAATCTGTCCTGCAGAGTATTGCAGGCCACATCTCCGTCGAATGGTAACTTCATAAATAAAGGCTTCTTTTGGGCAGTCGAAACCACTGACTTCTTTTTTTACGGCAAACATATACTTCTTTACGAATGCGCTGGGATAACCAATCTCGGTTAGTGAGCATCTCCCAGCATAGTTAACGAAGGGTCAGTCAAAAACAATACGCAATTCTATCTTAGCACACCTGGTCACATTGTAGATAAATCTAGATCTTTTCGAGTCATCTATCGTATACCTCCATCATTTCCCATCGGAGTTCGATCCCGTCTGCTACACATTGCAGAAGCCCTAGGAATACGTACATTTAACCCTAATTTATGTGTTCAGAAGAAATTCGTGACACCCTTATCTCTTCCGTGGCCGGATATGACGTAACTAACGATTGAAATTATATTTTTTGGGGCACAGTTTTTTGGAGGTTTGCGTTTCTACACATTTGAAATCATCAATCAATCATCATTGTTAGACCACCATTAGGAAACCTGGAAGCACTGGACGGCCGTTTCGTCCTAGTAGTATGGGACTCCTCAGCAGTGCGCATCCACGACTCCTGCTCCTCGCAGGATTCGAACCCGAGACCTTTGGCATTGTAGGCGAACGCCTTACCATCGTCCCATACCAGGACGAAACGGCCGTCCAGTGCTTCCAGGTCTCTAATGGTGGTCTAACAATGACGATTGATTAATGATTTCAAATGTGTAAAAACGCAAACCTCCAAAACTGTGCCCCAAAATATAATTTAGCTAATAAAAATTTATTTACCTGTGATGAACTATTCGGTTTGAAACGTTTCACTGCGCACACATCTTGATCAGATAATGATGACTGGGTAAAATATGTATTATTTGTACAATTTGTTGTTGGTATAACAGTACCAGCGTTAGTAGTAGTAGTAGTAGTTGTTGTAGTGGTAGTTGTAGTATCCGTAGCAGTAACACACTGACTAATATTTGAAGATACATTCAATTTTATAGCATTTCTTTGCCAATATTCTAAAGGTAAACGCCAATTTGATTGTAAACGTGAATCAAGTAAATGTGAAAGAAAATTGATTGTCCGTAAAATAATTGAATTTTGAAATAATACATGATAATTATGAAAAATACTATTGTTATTATTATTATTATCATTATCACCAGCAGTAAATTGTGGTAATGAAGAAGAAGTGGAGCAACAGGAGAGAGCAGGAGATGCTGATGAGGTACTTTTTGTTTGATCATGATCAATTGGCTGGTTGGAAATGTTTACATGACTTGAAGGTGAATTTTCAGTAGGATTTATTAAAACATCAACATCTTTATTACCGGTATCATCGGTAGACATATTTAAAGTCGTCGTGGTAGTAGTAGTAGTTGTTGTTGTCGCTGTAGATTGTTGAACAGAAAAATCAACACTGTCAACAATATCAGAATGATTAATTATTGACGCTAATGGATTTGATTGGAAATAATTGGGATCCGGTGGTAGAGGACTTTCAGGTGTAATAGCTGTAGCAGCAGAAGAGAATGGAGAGAATGAAATATCTGATGTTGTACTGCCACCTTGACCACTAGATGATCTGATAGACGGTAAACAACCACCAATAATAGCTATACTACTACTATTGTTCGATGTAATACAACACTCTGGAGGAGTTGAAGTTGGTTCACTAATCGATACAGATCGAGTGAATGATTTACCTTGGACAATATTATATGGATTTAAGTCTAGGCCAAGATTATCCCTGGAGGGAAAAGGAGAAAAAAAACATTGAAAAAATAACTAAATCATTTTTCTGTAATGTTGATTGAATTTGTAAGAGTAATGAATTTAAGAGAATAAGGAGTGTCTTCATGATGACGTAAGAAGGAAGAAACTCCTAGAAGCCAAGTCACACCCCGACCGAAGCTGCTACCTTGTCGTGGTGGTCGGGCTTACCTATCGTGATCACCCAACCGAGCTATACTGGCTGGAACACATGTTCCTGCAGGTCCTACCATGCCAGGCAGGTCGGTTGGAGAACGATGAGACTAAAAGCAGCTACTCAAGGTCTGAGGGCGAAGTCGTACTGCTGACTGCAGAAGAGTGTGACAGCAGTAAGGTGTTTCCCTCGGACAAGTAGCATCTACAGCGATGCTGCCTTCTGACAAGGAAGGGTTAGAAAAGGTTGACCCTAAAAATGTCACACCTCCCCTAACTCACGGAATACCGTCTCCTTGGGTAAGGGTGCCCACTAAGGGCCTTTAAGAACGGAGCTAATCCTAAAAAAACGTTTCATAAAAAGGCCGTGCGTGACCGGCCTCAAGCAGTTGTCCCTTGGACTCTGCGGTCACGCAGCCAGGTCTCCGAGACCAACGCTAATCTATCTTCCTTTTCAGGTCTCTCAAGAAACAACCTTCCACGGTGTGGGCTGCCGGGAAGTGATAACCGCCCTCATACCCGTAACAGCACATGAGACCAAATTGACAAGTCACACATTTTGAGGAATGCAATATGAGTGTTTTTCTTATATGAAGTGATAACTTGTGAAATACATTAAATACGTGTTTTGATAAGATAATCTAAAGGTGAATGGCATAACAATAACTGTATAGTGTGCAGTTATACATACATTTGCTCAATCATGTACTACAAAGATCACCATAGTTCAAACAGTAAAATTATTGTATTACAGAATGAAGATTAGATTTCAAAGCTTAAAACCAAGTACACAACTTACCAAACACCACATTATAAGAAGGCCAGAAAAATGTTACTTAATTTCACTAAGTTGAGAATTTCAAGTTATTTGAGCAATTTATTAAGTGTAAGCTTACTGACTCGACTTTGAGTCAAAACATTTGTGTAAGGGACAGTGATACTATTTGACAGCCAAAACTAGAGTATATATATATATATATATATATATATATATATATATATATATATAGCTATACTAACAATTTGACAGACAGGTAGACAGATACAACGCAGAACTTCATACATAAGTACATCAGTTCAGGTTGCCATGCCCCATCAGCACAGAGACGTAACTGTCAGTTCAAATCCAAGAGTGATAGCGATAGTAGAATTATTGTGGTGTGAGCTACTTATTAATAGTATATGATGCGAGTAAAAACGTAATGTCCGGCAGCAGAAGATGGGGGGAAGATCAAGAAAGGAAGAGTTAGAAGAACACAATGGAATTTGTATGAAACGCATGAATTGTGACAATGTCAGACAATGGATTGAAGATTTGCAAATTAACCGTTTACGATATGGTTTTCCTATTTTACTACTGAGTAACTCTGTAATTTGCAATAAATACAATTCGGTTTCCCTTACCTGTGTTCTCCTTCACTACATCATCAGCAGCAATGGAGAAGATTAGGGAGCAAAGAAAGATATGATTCAAAAAGTAGAACGGGAAGACAAAATGATTCGTCCTTTCAATTAAAAAAAAGGAAGCGACCTTCATCATCAGACATTTACAAGAAATTATGATTACCACAAACTATCGAAAACTGCTCAATTCAAAACTGCTTTTACACACACACACACACAAACGCATAACTGAGACACCATAAAATTAGACCCTAAGTACATAGAGACATTAATAAATCAAGTAATATTATCCAGAGGTCATCATCATCTTTGTCCATTTTTTTTTAAATGAATTTTTATTCGACTATTATCATTTTGAAAAAGTAGGGTCAAAATAAGTGGACTTTTATTGAGAACAGGTGTTCTATTTATCTAGTGGACAATCTATCATTCTATACAATGACGTCAGACAATATTTAGATACACTTACACACACTAAATAAAGCTTGATAACGAGGTCACCAAAACTGGCAACCAGACAAATAAGGTCAGCCAAGCACACACACACACGCACACACTAATGCAATGCACTATGAATAAGAATGGGAGCTAAATTTTTAATGAGTACAGACAAATAGAAGAATAAAGAGTGGATATAAAATAAAATTCTATAGTTTAGCATAAAATTATAGTTATATGATATAGTTAAACTCCGCCAGTAAAACCTTCGTGTCTACTGCCGGTCCCAAGCCCGGATAAAGGAGGAAGGTTGGACAAGGGGGTTGGAGACACCATTCCGTCAAAAACTAAATTGCCAAAAAAACTAATTCAAACCATTTTCACTCTGCCCTGGGAGTTGGAAGAAGAATTATAACGTCGCCGAGTTACCTCGGAAGTCGCGGGGCCGATGCCTCTTCTGACAACCAGAGCAACCATTTTTTTAGGTACATGGAACGTCCGTACATTGTGGGAGACTGAAAGACTATTTCAAGTTGCGGCAGAAATGAAAAGATACGACCTCAAGGTGCTCGGCATCAGTGAAACGCATTGGGACACACATTGCGGAAAGCACCTAACTGTGTCACGAGACAAGCCCTCACATCGAACCCTCAAGGCAAAAGGAAAAGAGGAAGGCCAAAGAACACACTACGCCGAGAAATAGAGAAAGATATGAGAGGAATGAACAAACATTGGACAGAACTGGAGAAGGGAGCCCAGGACAGAGTTGGTTGGAGAAAACTAGTGGGCGGCCTATGCTCGATTGGGGGTAACAGGCGTAAGTAAGTAAGTATGATATAGTTGCATTGGAAATTTGTTGCAATAATGAATTTGAAGTATCGAGAGAAAATTTCACGAGACATTAATATGTCATTGGTGAACCGTTGAGGTGCTTTGGACACGTGTGCACAACCACCGACTACCTCGATGAGCGACGTTTTGTGATATAGGATTAGGTTGGAAGAAAACTAGGGGAGGTCAGACCAAACCATATCACAAATCGATGAAGTCATTGACAACTGGATCAAGTAATGTTGGTAGGTGTCCACCACCTGGTTGGAGTTCACAAGATGATAGTAATCGATGGTTAGAGACGCTGAATGATATGGCTCAAAACCGTTCGCAATGTGTGTAACGCTTGCTTGAATAATTTCCAGCTAAATCCTATTGCTTAGTATTCTCTGACCATAATACACTGGACAAGTTCCAAAGAATCAAAAACACGGTGGAACAGGAAAAGATTACATTCCAAATAGTAAAGTTAAATGGGAATAAGAAGCCGAAGGCAAAAATAGATACAACGTTAGTTTCTCTATAGTATTTACATGAGAAGCTTCTGGATAGAAATTCACGTGATCGACTGGATTGGATTTAGCCAATTAGAGTGCAGCTAACAGTACGAGAATTTTCTACCCTGTTCTCCAAGAATCGATCAGGCGCTGATTAGATAGGAAATTAGCCAATCAGAGCGCAGCAACGTAGTCATGCTTTAACTCTGTCTGTCCCACTAACACAATGTCTCAGGTGAATTCATTCTTTGTGTCCTCTCAAATCCTAACCTTCAGAATTCCTCATCACCTTTATCTTTCTCTTCTCAAATTTATTTCAGTGAATTCTTCTTCTTGAATAATATTGTCGAACCCTGATCTTTCCGATTATTGCTAATACTTCTACTATCTCTACTAAGATGGGATTTGAAATGGCAGTTACATTTCTGTGCTAATGTGGTGGCATGGCAACTTGAAGTGATGTACGTCTATACGAAGTTCTATGTTGTGGTTGACTGACTGACGTTAGTTGCGAATCATTATTTTAGTATGTATGATATCGAACTAAGTCATAACTGCTTACTGATGAGTAGTAGTGCTTCATTAAGACAAAATTGTTATCCAATATCTTCTAATTCCTAATAACTACTTATTTGAATGTAATTTATAATACAGAGTAAGTGAAATCAAGTTAAGATTCTTTTGTAAATAAACTTGCTTTTATCATTAATAGAATAATGTACTCTTTTCACAACATAAGTTTTATGTGCAATGATGAGGTTTATTTATGTTGAAATTTGACTGACCTACTACTGATAATAAATATCTAAACAGACATATTACCAAATTTTTCAACTCTACAATCTACCTATCTTATGCTGATAAAATTGCTTTTTTTAACTATATTAATCCTACCAGTAGTCACTTACAATGTAGAACTTATTACGTAAGCACGTACATCAAGTTCAAATGGACACATCATGTTAGCACAGAATGATGCAATTGTCAATTCAAATCTTAGAGTAGTAGAAGTATTACGCGGTAATCGAAAAGATTAAATTATTGATATATGTTAAAATATATTATTTTGATTTTGACCAATTTGGTCTCGTGTGCTGGTACAGGTATGAGGGCGGTTTTCACTTCCCGGCTGCCCACACCGTGGAAGGTTGTTTCTTGAGGGACCAGGAAAGGAAGATAGATTAGTGTTGGTCTTAGAGACATGGGTGCGTGACCGCGGGGCCCAAGGGACAACTTCTTGAGGTTGGTCACGCACGGCCTTGTTATGAGAAGTTTTTTGAGTGTTAGCTCCGCTCTTGAAAGCCCTTAGTGGACACCCTTACCGCCGGAGATGGAAATCCGTGAGGTAGGGTGAGGTGTGACATTTTTGGGGTCGACATTTTCTAACCCTTCCTTCCTTGTCAGAAGGCAGCATCGCTGTAGATGCTACTTGTCCGAGGGAAACACCTTACTGCTGTCAAACCGCTCTGCAGTCAGCAGTACGACTTCGCCCTCAGACCATGAGTAGCTGCTTTTAGTCTCATCATTCTCCAATCGACCTGCCTGGCATGGTAGAACCTTCAGGAACGTATGTTCCAGCCAGAATAGCTCGGTTAGGTCATCACGATAGGCAAGCCCGACCACCACGTCAAGGTAGCAGCTTGGGCCAGGTGTT